GATCATATTTGTAAAATTACAAGCAAATTAATCGTGCACTGTAAACTCTAGAATAGCGAAATGTAGATCAACTTTAATAAATATTAACTCATTTGCATCTTCGCTCAAAATGTGAAGCTTGCTTTATAAATTAGGGATGCTCAACTGAAGGTCATTAAAAAATTATGCATATTTAAAAGTGGAATCATTTTATATAACATTATAACATAAATAATTATTTTGTTACATAGCTGTGCGGTAAATAAACTTAAAATAGGTACTGAAACTTGTTAATCGGTATGATAATCTTTAAAATGATCGATACATAATGGAACATTGCAAATATCACATTTGAAAACAGTTTCTCTTTTATTCGGGTTTATTCGTAGATGAAGTCTCTCTTCGTATTTTCGTTTTTACAATATTGTTTAATAATTTTTTTCGCCAATTTTTGTTTATAAACATGGAAAGCTCAATTTTTTCGTCTTGTTTATGAATATTCCGATTTTGATGATAAACGACAGTTATTGCGTGAGAATTATTCCATTTAATAATGCAAATGGGTTAAATAGACTAATGAAATGGCACAGGTAGTACACTATTTATCATAGGACGTCATTTGCCGTACATAACCTTTTTCCAAATCATAAATAACAACACTTTATAATTTATTGAATATGTCAAAATTCGTGCCGAATAAAGTGTTCTTGCGGGGAGTTTTGCTTCATTATTTTGATATGAACAAATGTGCAGCTGAGGCTCATCGTATTTTAGTGGAATTGGGAGTTGACTTATCAACAGTAGGAAAACATCTTAAAAGTTTGGGCATGGTCCAGAAGGAAGGACATTGGGTCCCACATGAATCGAAACCAAGGGATATTGAGAGACGTTTCTTCACGCGCAAACTGCTGCTTGAACGGCAGAAAAGAAAAGGTTTTTTGCATCGAATTGTTACCAGTGACGAAAAATGGATCCATTATGACAATCCGAAGCGCAGAAAGTCATGGGTTAAGCCCGGCGAGCCATCAACTTCAGTGGCAAAGCCCAATGTCCATGGATCGAAGCTTCTGCTCTGTATTTGGTGGGATCAGAGGGGTGTCATTTACTACGAACTGCTAAAACCGCATGAAACCATAACTGGGGACCCCTACCGACAGCAACTGATGATGAAAAAGTCATTTTTGTAGTCAACATACCTGGAAATACTTGACGGGAGTGCTACCGTACCCGCCGTATTCTCCAGATATTGCTCCTAGCGATTACCACTTGTTTCGATCAATGGCTCATAGCTTGTGTGAGCAGAAGTTCACATCTTACGAAGATCGTAAAAAATGGGCCGATTCGTGGATTTCATCTAAAGACGAAGAGTTCTTCCGACGTGGTATTCGCTCATTGCCCGAAAGATGGTAAAAAGTAGTAGAAAGCGATGGACAATACTTTAATTAATGTATTTTCCGATTTTCATGTGAAATAGATAATATTTTTTCATTAAAAAAACGCTACGAATTAATTCCAACACCTAATATAATATTTAAAGCATCGGAAATTACGTTACCCATTGTGTACTACTCTTCTCCACTCTATAATAATAAGACTCTAAATTGATCGTGGCAGTATTCGCTGAAAACGTTTTAATCCAAATAATCAAAGTGGTAGGAGGCGTTTAAAGTCAATTTTGAGTTGTTTGAACGAGGAGGATGCGCGCGAACCTCATTGGTCTCCTCTTCAACCTTCCTAAAGGATTGGACCTGCGTATGATGGTCGCGGTACCACCAGCTTCGCATAAGCGGAGAGGTGTAGGACGGTTTTAGTCACTCCCACTTACGCCTGTGACACGAAATCGCGTGGTACATTCTCTCGTGTCTAGTCTGCCATTGATTTACTTAAAAAAACTGGTCGTATCGCGAATAGATGTATCGCAATGTCTTCAAAATCCTTACTAACTATTACAAGCTCTCGTAGGATATCGACATGGTTTCGCAATATCCGCGGACCTCCAAAATTCTCATCTCTGTGAAGGGATCAGCGTATGTCTTGCAACATACGAATTATTTATCAGTCTTGTTATGCGAGAGCATTTTCTCAAAAATAACGTAAACTGATTAAGAACCTGTGCATCACTCACGATTCGGTGGAACGTTTTACCGATAAAACAGTTTAGACATAAGATGATCGTGCAAATCGGTGAATGTTTTTGAAAGCCAAAACGTTTCTTAATGTTGACAAAACACGCGAACAATCGAATAATCAAGTTCGATGAAGAGTAGACGAGAAGCGAGGTTCAACGATTCAAACACATCATCGTCATTCGATTTCTGTTACTTTTAGTGCTTCGTTCGCGACCAAAGTAAATCCTCGTTAGAGAGAAATTCTTCAGGGATGGTATATAACCGAAGTCTTCGGCGCAGTTTTACTAAAACAGTTCCTGCAATAAATTTATTGACGATCTTTGTGCAATTTCAAAGCGTGAAAATTCGAGGCAAAGCATAGATGTTCTTGCGGGCACTGTTATAAGAAGATCGTAAAATTACTGATTGTATTCGAAAGCTAGAGTGTTTGATAAATACACGAATAACACTGAGGAGCAAAAAAAAAAATTTGTTTTCAGCAGCATGAGGTTTATTGGCGATTGTAATGCATGCAATATAATTATCAAATGTATAATTGGTTTAGCAAGAATGGTTCTAATTCTTATGATGAGTGTTACTTAAAAAATACACAATAATTCTCTTAACCTTCCCTACTCACTTGTTTTTTTTTTTTTTAAAGTCTATCCCACAAAACTCTGCTTTTGTTTTAATTAGCCAGTAATACTATATACAGTAGAACCCCTGTCCGTTCGAATATCTTCAAAAGTGTTGATGATATCGCAAAATATTTGAGACAAAAATAAAATGGTTTCGAGGGATGAAGGTTATTAATGTTTTTTTAAATGGAATCATATACTTTTTAATAGATCATTCGATGTAACTAGTAATTTTCTATAGAAAAGTATTAAGCCATTTATAGTGATACATAATTAATTTAGAAGATATATCAACGTAAATATTAATGTTTTTAAATTATTAAATTGAAATATTTGTTAAACTAATGATATTTTGTCATAAATAATGCAGTACTTTTTCATTGAGAATGAGGAGTCGAATTGACCAATACATTCAAAAATTCTGACGATGAAGGAGAATATTATTTTAGAATAATAACATTTTAATGATGTAGTAGAAATATTTACATTTAAATATCTTTTAAACTAATGGTTTTTCGTCATAAGTGACCAAATACTTTTCTACGAGAAATGACGAGCTACATTGAATAGTGGATTAAAAAGTCTATGACTTTGTTTAAAAAAGTATTACTGATCTATATATGTTCTCTACGTGCTCGTCTATAAACAAACTATTACAAATTATGCTTCCTTCGAAGCCATTTAATTTTTGAAAGGTAAAGATACATGCCTTTTTTTCTCGAGTTCCAACATGGTAGTTTAGTGAATGAAACGATGTCATAAAATTGATTCAAACGATAGAAAAAATGTAAATGAAACGCTAGAAGACGAGTTATGTTTTAAGGCGTCCATTAGGGATAAAGGATGTTGAACGGAAAATTTTTCTACGTTCTTCCTGTACTTCAAATCTATCTTGTCCCTAAACTTTCTAATAAAGTTGCATTTAAAAGAAAAGTATGTCGACATTTTGCGAAATAATTTTAGTTTTTTCACAAGATGACGTATACGTCTTAATTATACACTGTCTCTGACATAACCAATAACAACATGATGGCGGATGGCAGCACCATCAACTTAAAATAACAAAGTAAATGCCTTGTAAGTTTATATTTAAGAAAAAAAATTCGGTAATCATTTAGAAGTTTGCCCTCCTTGCTGATTTTCGTGACCTTGAAATATGTTGTCAAGGTCATCATTCTAAACAACTTTTCCTTATACCTGTTACCGCCGCTCGGCCTTTGTTTCCGAGATATTTGCAAAAATCTTTAGTTAAACTTAGATTACGAGTACACTTTGATTGTAACATATTCTTCTTGTTACAACAGTTATGTTTTTGCGTTTGTTTGGGTATTTGATACGTATTCCTTCCAAGTGACGTCTTGTCAGTTTCGAGCTGTTGACAAACTCACGAGTATCGGTGTTGTTAAAGTCGTTATAGTGTTTTTGTGTAATTTTTAACTCTGTGTGATGATTACAATAAGCTGTTGGAGTCTTCAATTGAACGAAAAGTAATTCATGCTACAATGAATTGTATAAAGTTTTATTCCGACGTCAACATGATGTTAATGAGCGTATAATGGCATTTTTCGACATGATGGCCGAAATGTTTCCGATTTCTGACGAAACACAAAATGAATCTCAAGTAGAATTTCGTATATTATATTTGGGAAGGCCCAAACCACTTCAATCACTTTTTCAATCACCATTCAGTCTCCATTTTTCCTAGAATACAGTGTACTGGTGACATAAGTATAACTACAGTTATTTACGAATATCTCGGAAACTAAGGCCGGAGCGGCGGTAACATGTATAGGGAAAAGTTGTTCGGAATGATGACCTTGACAACACATTTCAAGATCACGAAAATCGGTGAGGGAAAACTTCTAAATAATTACCCAATGTTATTATTATACACACTATAAACATTCAAGTTAACCCATTATAAGCTAGTGTCCCATTTATAGGACACTGAGTATTTTATTTTTTTTCAACCCTTAAAATTGGTTCAAATTAAATGAAAAATTTACCACATATATTTTAGGGTGTATTAAACTAAATTATAATTATTGTTGTATTATATTACCAATATTCTTTTAATAAAAAAATTATAAACTTTGCATAAATTTTCTTACTTTGTCACGAATTATATACTCAATCATAAAAATTTCATATCGCCACTTTTTTTATCTTCTAATGTGTTATTCCTATTGAGGAATGATTATTCAAGATTGTTGTAAACTTTGTTTATGTATTTTTAGCAAAAACTCGTATTGGTTACAAGTTTTATGTAGCTGTCCTACGAATAGGACTCTGGTACTTAGCATTATCAAATTGTATGTACTATGTATGTAAAAATTAAATTGTATAAGTTACGAGAATCGGTGAGGAGGGCAAACTTCTAAATAATTACCAAAAATACGGCCCATAGAGGGTTAAAATCAAAGTCGGACTGTCGGTGTCCTTGCGTCGTCGGTGCAATAAGATACTCCAAGGATGATACCAATGTCAGCCGATTTCTATCGCTTTTAGTATTTCGCGAGCGACGGAAACTAGTTCCCCAGGTTGGCGACTGATTGTTCCGGTGCGTTGGTCTGAAAATTGAACGAGTGGATGTTTAGTCCACTCCTACCTGCGCCGGTGGTCCAGGAACACGTGGTGCGACCGCGGTAATCCATCGGTGTTCTTCCACTTCCACCTCCGGTTGATCCACCACCACCACCACCCGCGCTCAGTGTTCGTTGGCCGCTCGGACGAAGAGTGCGCGTGAGTTGGCAAAATGGCTCGTTACCACCACTGCGACCACCACCACCACCACCACGACACTGTTACGAACAGTAGCGGCGCGGTAAACGATCACGAAGGTTGCCGACACGCTCGTGGTCCTCCTCGTGCATCGTTCGCATCGTTCGCTCCTCGAAGTGGCCGTCTTTTCTTTCGGTAGCACGTGGTCGCGTCGACGAACTCGCGACACTCGGCACGGTCATCCGCCAGCGGCACGACCTCGTCGTCGTCGAAGAGGCACCCTCGAAGCACGAGGGCATCGGTCGAGAGGAGGGAAGGCGAGAAGCCTTCTGTGCTCCTCGAGGATGTCGCCGCTTCCTCGCCGTTGGCGAAGACGTGGATGTATGCGCTGCTCGGTAAGCCGCCGGCCTCTGTGAACACCCGAATTTGCCCGGTATCGGCGATACGTGGGTTGCAACGTGCGAACAAGTGCCAGTGCGCGCCGAGGATCTCCAATTCCCGACCAACGAATAACCAGAAACGGGATGAAACGCCTTCGCGATGTTCGTTCAGAGAAACGGTGCTCGTTGTGAAAATGCAGTGGTTTGAAATCGAATCGGCGATGATCAGTGTATATCGGTGGAAAACACGTGTCGATGAAAATGTGCACCGTCTCACTAGGATGCTCCGATCTCTGCGTAGAATTAATGCGTGTCGTCGAAGTGCGTGGCTCTGGATTACTTCGTCGAGCATCTAAGGTATCTCCCTACTTTCTTCATTAACATCACCTACGGGCGTCGTTGCAACGATCTAATCGTGCCGTGTACAGTCTAATCTTCGTATCGGATGATCTTGGAAACCCCTCGATATCTAATCTCTAACGACGATTTTCAGTTTATGCGATAAACGGTGGATATCGTGGCCCTTTCATTTACTTCTTTCTTCTTTCTTTCGTACCAGCCTCATTCATCTTCTACGATTCTGGTGTTTGTTAAATTCCTGTTGGATGCTTCTCTTCTGTTTATAATAATAGTCTGCGATCGTTCTTGTCGAACAGACGTTATCTTCTTATCGAACTATTGTGCTTTAGATATCAGCCCCTTTTTTAAGCTCTCCAGGCGAATCGAGTGAAATCACGTTCTGCACGCTTGTCGCGTGTTTACGCTTACTTACAAGAAAGCTTGTTGCACGTTTACCAGCGTTACGAAAGATGTTACGCGTCGTATATTCAAATTTGACGTTTCTTCTTTAGTTTCCTGCCGGGCGGTTAATTCTTTTACGATTTTAAGGAAATTGCTATAATCGGTAGTGCTTTCAACGATATTCAATACTTTTTTTTTTACTGGCGTTTGATAGCTCAATCGTACAAAGATAGTGCGAATATAGATAAGGGAAGCACCTGAACTTGAACGAAATATCTTTCAGCGATTACGAAGACTTTTTGTTGATCGGTATCGTATTTGTTTCTTTTACGCGGTTGTAATTTCTGGATTAATATAGTTCTCCGCGGCGCAGCGAACGCGTGTTTCGTTCAAGGTTAACCGCGGAGTACCGTAATTTGCTGACCATTGTTTTCTGCACTATCTTCCCAATGCGTGGAGACAGATTTTTTTTTTTTTTGTTCGAACTTGTACCGAACAAAACAATCTTATCGCGCGTTAAATTACTAACTAGAAACCATTTGTCACATTATTTATCGCTCGAAATTGTTAAAGGGGAACGCGTCGTGACATTAGTCAACATCGATGGCGTGTTGCGCGACAATCATTTTCTAGAATTTTATATCAGCTTTTGTCGCATGAATACAATGTCACACGCGAAGCATTGAATAAATACATAATTACCGATGCAACGAAACCAGCACGATAATGAATTTCTTATACGCGGCTGTGTCTTTTGTAATAATTTTTAGCGCGTTCGCTTACTATTATGACACGTACGATTATACGAATCATTTATCTAAGTTCGTGGCGCTTAATAAGTGCGCGTATCGAACGCAAGGCTGTAAATTACTTAAATAAACTGCTCGTCGTTGTTTGGCGCGCGGATCTGCCGTCTCGCTAATTTTCCATTCCATCTGCAATTACGCGTATCGCGGTGTGTAAGAGGATGAAGAAGTCACTAGCGGCTTAATGTCCTTTGCGCAAGAGAAAAGTCGGCGAAACGTTTCCGAACGACAAAAAATAAACGTTACAAAATTATAATCGAATAACGTTACGCCACCGTTGCCGAGATGATAGTCGTTAGCCTATAAACTTACTACAACACGTTGGATAATTGAATACATTTTACATTTAACGCGTTATTCCCTATGCAACGCGAGACGCGTTTGCATATCGGAGAAATAATATCCTGATTGCGCTAGTAGGAATATAAAGGATCAACGATTTCTTATTTCGATCGCAGAAAAAATCAAATTAGTTTCCATCGCGTTTGTTTTATTGCCAGTTAAATTTTCTAGCTGTCGTGGCAAATCAGATAGGTTAGAACGACAGGAATGTTATCGAACTATTTTAACACTTTGTTTTTGGACAATTAAAATAATTTATTTTGGCAGCCTCGTTAAAATTCAAGAACGCCATCTAGATTTATTTTCTTTGATCTTGGAGAATTAATTTATTTAAGCGAAAAATTATGTCATCGGTATAGGTATGAGTGTTTCGAATCTAGGAAAAATACTTTTCAACGGAATACAATGGCTTCGTTTGCATTTGCTCGAAACAGCACCAGTCGAGGGATTTAATTTTCTATTTTACACGATCAACTTTCGTAATCATTTCATTCGCTCCCGAATGACGCCGATGTCACAATATTCTTTGTTACGTAATTAAAATACTGCTTTCCTTGCGTGGAAATTTTCCCGACTTCTTAACATATTTTCAGTTACATAACGGAATTTATTTATGTAGAACGGTCATACTAATAACGATTATAATACGAGGGTCGTTCAATAAGTCCTTAGAAAAAGATAGAAAGAAAAATTATTTTAGGTAAATTTTTTTTTAGTTTTCAACATAATCTCCTTTTGGCTCTATACACTTTTCCAAACGTTTCTCCAACTTTTTTAAGCCATCTAAAAAGTAAGATTTCGAAAGGTCCTCGAAATAGGCATCTGTATGGGCGGTGACCTTCACGTTCGACGTGAATCGTTGTCCGCCGTGTCATTTTTAAAAATTTAGATATAAAGAAAAGTCACTGCCAAATTCGGTGAAAACGGTGGACGTTGTGATAATTCGAACTTTAATTTCATGATTTTGGCCATCGAAACTGCACAGGTGTGCACTCGTGCATTGTCTTAATGGAAGAGGATCTTTTCCTTTTCCAAACGAGGACGTTTTTTCTTGATTTCTTCGCTCAACCGGTGCAATAACGACGCATAATACTCTCCAGTTATTGTTATTGTATCCCAACAAACTGTGACCATCGCCTTGCCGCCTTCAAAAACTCACTGGTTTGTCTGTTCCTTTGTCTCTGGAGTGCAGTGGTGTATCCACGTTTCATCCAGAGTTATTCATCGACACAGAAACTCGTCAGGATTGTGACGAAAAAGCGTAAAAACAGCGTAAGAGTCGACCACACGATTTGGTTTATTCTCCACTGAAAACAAACGCGGCACCCATCTTGCCGAGATTTTTTTCATACCCAATTTTTCGTGCAAAATTGAAAACACTGTACCTTGCGATATGCCTGTGGCCCCGACTATTTCGCGCACTTTGGTTCGTCGATCACTCAAAACCATATCGTGGATTTTGTCAATCATTTCGGGAGTAGTCAATTCCACAGTGTGTCGTGTAAATGGGAATTTAGAACAAAAATCGTAGCTTCTAAACTAGTCAATTTTCGATCTAAGACCTCTTACACTTTTTTAAAGAGAATACAATGATGCATCGAGCGATGCACACAAATTATACATTTTTGTTAAAAAAAATTGAATCGACCTTGATTTTTTGTTGCATAAAAATTGTTTTGCTAATTTCTACTGTTGCAATTTCTTGTCAAGTGTATCTTTCGTTCGAAAAAAGCAAGGACTGAGCTAGCTAACTAGCAAGGACTGAGCTAGCTAACTAGGAAGGAGTGAGCTAACTAACTAGCAGAGAGTGAGCTATCTAGCTAGCAAGAACTGAGCTAGCTAACTAGCAAGGAGTGAGCTAGCTAACTAGCAAGGACTGAGCTAGCTAAACCTCAAAACTTACAGCGAACAATAAAATGTGGTGATGATTCCATATGTGTTTGGGACTGCATGAGCGTCCATAGGTGTAGGTGAATTGCATTTCATTGACGGAATAATGGATCGCAAGATATATATTAATATTTTTAAAACTCATCTTCATTCAAGTGCTGAAAAAATGGGTATTGAAAATAATTTTGTGTTCATGCAAGATAATGATCCTAAATATACCTTTTACAAATACAAGAATGTAGATTGCGCAGCACATTTAGAAACACCTCCGCAATTATCAGCTATGAACCCTATTGAACATTTGTGGGGTAATTTCATTGCAATTATTATTTCATCTAAAACAGACTTAAAAATGCTTTAATCAACAAATGGAATAATATTGCTAATAAAATCGCGTCTAATTTAGTTAATTCAATACCTATAAGGCTAACCGCAATAATAAAAACAAAGGGAAATCCTACTAAATACTAATTATACATATTAATTTTACAATTATTTGTTGTTTTTATTACAAATGTTTAAATTACTTGTACACTTGATAATGGCGCCAAAACTGTACAAATACTTATTACGCGTTCATTTCTGTCACTTTGTTCATTTTTCTTGATATTTATGTAAACGACATGAATATTTTTGGTTGTTTGAAGAATATTGTTTAATGAACATTATTATTGAGCATTTTAGTCGTAATTAGTTACTGCACGAATAGTTTTTACACCCACTGTAGTCTAGCCAGCACGTTCACGCGAGAGTCGTCGCTCATAGTTAGCACGCGCGCAGTGAAAATGTCATAAAAATACGAAATTGTCTGTCAGCCATAGAAGCAAAATTAATGTGCGGTTCGAGCCGCGTGAATCGCCATAGACCGCGTTCGCGATTCTTCGATACGCCGTCAATTTGTTACTCGGCCGCCGACGCGCTAATGATTCCGATCTTCGTCGTCTCCTTGCGATGGCGGGACGCCGCACAGCGGGCCAGATCAACAATTTTAGTGACATTTTAATATAAATTTTGATACCAAAGTGCGGTTTGCACAAAAAAATATTACGAAATTCTCCCGTTTTAATAACGTATAGAATATTTTGTAATTACCTTCACTATGTTTAATTAATTTTATATTTATGTTTATTTAATTGGTCTCTGCAATGTTGTAAATGTAATTATCCCACACTAATGTAGCATAATAAACCAGAAGTGTATTCCTTATTTGATATAATTTTCTTAAACAATTTATATTGAAAAACGTGTAGTTTTAGATTATATAGAAATATGTAATTCAGATAATATTATTAAACACTGTAACAAAATGTCTATTATACAGGGTGTTCGGCCACCCCTGGGAAAAATTTTAATTGGAGATTCTAGAGGCCAAAATAAGACGAAAAACAATAGAATACTAATTTGTCGATGGAGGCTCCGTTGAAAAGTTATTAAAAATTTCACACATTCTCGAATTTTTTTCTGGAAAATGGTTAGGATTTTGGGATATGTCTATTCACCAAAAATGCTTGTAATTGACCCCTGTAACTAAATATAATTTTTTTATTACCAATTGAAATTTTTTAATTTCGTCTAAAAATTTCAGTATCTAGTCGAATTTTTTTCTCAAAAGTAGGTAGGAATTTGGGGTATGTCTATTCACCGAAAATGCTTGCAATTGACCTCTGTAACTAAATATAATTTTTTTATTACCAATTGAAATTTTTTAATTTCGTCTAAAAATTTCAGTATCTAGTCGAATTTTTTTCTCAAAAGTAGGTAGGAATTTGGGGTATGTCTATTCACCAAAAATGCTTGCAATTGACCTCTGTAACTAAATATAATTTTTTTAGTACCAATTGAAATTTTTTAATTTCGTCTAAAAATTTCAGTATCTAGTCGAATTTTTTTCTCAAAAGTGGGTAGGAATTTGGGGTATGTCTATTCACCAAAAATGCTTGTAATTGACCCCTGTAACTAAATATAATTTTTTTATTACCAATTGAAATTTTTTAATTTCGTCTAAAAATTTCAGTATCTAGTCGAATTTTTTTCTCAAAAGTAGGTAGGAATTTGGGGTATGTCTATTCACCGAAAATGCTTGCAATTGACCTCTGTAACTAAATATAATTTTTTTATTACCAATTGAAATTTTTTAATTTCGTCTAAAAATTTCAGTATCTAGTCGAATTTTTTTCTCAAAAGTAGGTAGGAATTTGGGGTATGTCTATTCACCGAAAATGCTTGCAATTGACCTCTGTAACTAAATATAATTTTTTTATTACCAATTGAAATTTTTTAATTTCGTCTAAAAATTTCAGTATCTAGTCGAATTTTTTTCTCAAAAGTGGGTAGGATTTCAGGGGTATGTCTATTCACCAACAATGATTGTAATTGAGCCCCGCGACCAAAAATAATTTTTTCGGAATGATTTGAAATTTTTTAATAACTTTTTAATGAAGCCTCAGCCAAGAAATTGATATTCTTGATTTTCGTCTTAATTTGGCCTCTAGAATGTCCCTGTATAGGGAGGATACAATCTTACCATTTGGTTTTTGAGGTTATGGGCTGAGTTCTGCTGTCCTTGTTTGAGTAATTGCATAGCTTCAGGATCTAATAATTTTCTGTACCTTTTGTATGATTTTAATCTTATTGTTGATATGAATGGATCAGATGTTAATAGTAGTCTATGAAAGATGTCTTCATTCGTTGCTGTTCTTGAAATTTTCCTGCTCTTGTAATTCCGAAACTTTTTACAATCTTTATGCTTTGTTTCCTGGGCGTCTTCCGACAATTGTCCAACTTTGAACATTAATAATTCAAAAAGGTGGACGATGTTGGTTATAATTTTTATATATTATCTAAAAGAAAGCATCCTGAAAACATTGAGATATGTTCGAACGTGGAACAACTTGGGACTCAGAAGATATTTCTTGTAAATTGTAAAAATATTGCCAATTTTCTGTAGTATATTCAACGTTACGTTCCTAGTGCATTAAATACAATAACTTCAGCTGCAATTAATACGTTTTAATGGAAAATAATGCTATTTATTGTAGAAAAGAAACGCTGAAAAAAAATTAAACGAAATCGTCAAAATATCGTGAAAAAGAAAGTACACTTTTCAAGCGTCAAACGTACATTTGAAAATGTTAAATTTTAACAGTTCGATACAGCTATAATTTATAATTAATTTGATCAATTCTTTCATTTTTAAGGTCAGTAGACATTTGTAAGGTAATACCAATTGATTAAAAATCGACACGTGAAAGTTAATTTTTTTGGTAAAACGTCACTAAGATCTTCGATCCAGCCCATTGTGCGACGTTACTGTGAAAATCTAATTGCTTCTATCGACTTTCGAATTCGTTCCAACCGGTACCCAGGTTAACCATTTGAATAAAAGTAAATATCTCTTTCGAAGCAAACGGTTCTCAACAGGACACGACCTTTCCATCGCTAAACGCGTTAAAAAATTCAAGTACGCCGAGAAAGATTCCAGATCTCCTTCGGGTTTATCTGATAGAACGCGACAACGGGCATCGTGTCGTTATCAACGCCGGTTGAGAATTGAAAAGTTGAGGTTTTGCACATTCCGTATTCATAAAGGCTGACTGTACACGTGCAGCGGCGTTCGTGATTTTTGCACGACGTTTGAACTGTTGCGTCTCGGAAACAATTTTAGATATTAGAACGGTAGCAGCTTAATCTGTTTAGCGGGCGGTCGTTCAATCTCGTAGGTTTCATTATCATTTTATCGCTTCGCTAACGTTAGAATAAATCGACGTTGTTCGGCGGATGAAGAAGTAGATCGACCGACACAGTGGCGCATATTTTTTCTAGAAACAATAGTATCGATGTTCCGTATTGTTCCGTTTCGAGTTAAAATAACATTGTACGTGGCCATTCCAGATTCAGGCTGAACGATATTTCTGTTCCTCCCTATTATTACTTTTATGTAATGCATCGCCATGACTATGATTTCAGTACTTTATCGCGGTGAGAAAATTGTGTAGCGGACACGATCTCAAATCGTTGCTTCAAATAATATTTTAGTCGAACAATACGCACGAACACCTTGAAATATCGTCTCGAATCAGATTTCGTTTATTCGCCGCGAAACTTATTGCCAAATTATAATGAATCTCCTTCTCGACACAGTTTAACGATGCCATGTTATCGACGTGTTATTAACGCAGCATTAGATTCTACGAGTGTTTATAATAGTTCAATGTTCCAGCGATCTCACGATTCCACGTAATCGAGCATAGTATCATTTACCAGGTGCATATTACATAGTACAATCTGTCACTAACGTTTCGGTATAGTCATGCGTAACAACATTCGGATTCTAGGAAAATTAATGGGCTGTTCAAGTCCAACAACGATATAGAAAGTTGTGTTTTACATCGGCACAAGGTGCAATGAATGATTACACACCGGCTTACGTAATTGCACGGCTGGAATCTTATCACGTTTCGTAATATGCAAAATCTTCGTGTATCGTTGGCTGCGCCAAGATTCCAAGAAAAAGCTCAACGTAGACAGCAATCGTATTTACGATAAAAAGATTATCGTTGTAACGTTTCTTTAGTTTCCGCGCCGTACACTGGTCAATGTGGCGCGAATCGAACCGATCGATCAGCAAATTGTCGATCGATCGTCGAAAAAATGATGCTACGGAGCCGCTTCGAGCGATTCTCGATCTTGAAATTCAAAAGCGATCGCCGTCAAGGCTCGATCGACGAAGCCCGGACGGCCTCATTTTGCGTGCAACGAACACCCGAACGCGTTTCATCCTCGTCGTTCCCACGTTGCAACCACTTTGTGCCGCGATTCGATCGACATCGAAATCTGGATAAAAGAACAACGGTTCGTGCATCCTCAGACGAGGGTGGATTACTGGCAGATAGCGGTGGTGTGGAGAATGATGTTGTGGTCGGGGATGCCACCTGCGTGAGAAGCACCGATCTTCATCAACATCCCTCCTGTCATCATTACCGTCAAGAGCAACAAGCACACCCTCAGCAACATCAGCAGCAATATCAGCACCGCCAGGAGGAGGAGCTCGAAGATCTGCTGTGCTTTCGTGGACCATCGGAACAGGAGATGGTGGCCCAAGAAATGGCACAGAGTTACACGCAGCTCCTCCATCCAGATCAGGAGCCGCAGGAATTCATATCCTTGGAGGAGCTACAACCGCATTTGCACCAGGAGCATCACGTTCACAACAACCATGGCCAAGTGGTGTCAACGATGCCGTCTACCAACGCTCAACTCTATCAGCACCATCATCAACAGCACCACCATCGGAGTTACTATAATCTATCGGCTGTCCAAGAGTAAGTGAAACAAACCATGCGTTGTTGTAATGTTTAATAATTGTTCGTTAGCATTGCTGTATTCGATGTTCGTGTCGCTGAAGAGGAATGATGAGTGTTTATCTTGCGTTTGCAAATTCTCTACTTTAAATTTCAGGCAACATGGTGCGCTAACCGACTTTCTTAGAATTAAGCAATCGAGTCTTGGTGCTTTTGCCTGAATCTACGTATTCGATGTAGCCGATCTCGAGAAACGAGACCAATGTAATTTTTCGATGTTGTCCGTTGTTACATGTTCGGTTACATTGGTTGTTCGTCGTTATTTTTTATTATTCTTTTTATGGCATTAGCGCGTTGAACCTGCGACGATCGGCCAGCAAGTCGATGCAAAAGAATATATAGAAATCAGTTTTAGGATTATGACATAACTCGATGTATCTACGACATAATAAGAGGATTACACGTGTTATTGGTTAGCCTTGAAGCACCATCCGACCTCATTAATCGTTACGATTATTGATGTTCGTCGTTTCCACTGAACGTCGTCACAACAGGATGTAACCGTATTACTATTGCATGTTCCGTATTAATTGGTAAAACAATTTCTCTGATATGTTGCAATTAATGTGTTTTTCTTGCCTTCTGCTTTCGATTGTACAACAGAATCGCTCACAAACGGTGTCTTGTGCAATTACCTATAGATTTACGTGTTTCATATTCTGTATGTACAAAGCATTCGCGCGTGCATCAGAAATCAGCGAGAACGTTCGAAAGCTTAAGAGTACCGATTGTGTAAAACGCAAACCGAACAAAGAGATCTCGAAGGAGAAATGGCTCCATTGTATTAGTAACTGACTAGGAGATGAAATATACAGCGTCGCCTTTCATGTTAAGAGAAAATTTTAAACACGCCAAGACAAAGTAAAATGAAGACACTCCATGAATCAGTTGCCTTCAAAGGGCATAATAATTTAAAAAAATAAAAACTGTACAGGGCGTTCGGCCACCTCCAGGAAATATTTAAATGGGACAAAAAATTAAATTAAAAAATTTCAAATCGTACTGGAAAAATTACTTTCGGTTGCGGGGGTCAATTACGATTATTTTTTATGAATACACATACCCCTGAAATCCTACCCAATTTCGAGAAAAAAATTCGAGTAGGTACTGAAATTTTTAGACGAAATTAAAAAATATCAAATCATACTAAAAAAATTATATTTAGTTACAGCGGTCAATTACAAGCATTTTTGGTGAATAGATATACCCCTGAAATCTTACCCACTTTTGAGAAAAAAATTCGAGTAGGTACTGAAATTTTTAGACGAAATTAAAAAATTTCAATTGGTACTAAAAAAATTATATTTAATTAGAGGAGTCAATTACAAGAATTTTTGGTGAATGCACATACCCCCGAATTCCTAAACACTTTCGAGAAAAAAATTCTTCACCGAAAATCTAATGTGAGACCAGAAATGCTTCCTTGAAATTTCATGCGTATCTTTAAAATGTCATAACTCCTGAACGGATTGGAGGATTTTAATTTTTCAACAGGCAAACAACGCGTATTTAGGTGAAAAATATGTAGAAATCGCAAAAATATTGGAAAAGTGGATCTTGATTCCGCCAAAATGAGAAAAACTCCATAAAAATATCCAATTTTCAAACGACTATAACTCCTACAGTAGTGAATATATTTGAATGAAATTTTTTTCTGAAATAGAGCACATGGTTACCTACAAAAAAGTATAAGACAACTTTTCTATAGAGCGTCAAACAAAATTAAAAATGAAAAACAAATTCTTAAGAAAAATCGACAAGATGGTGGCTTTCGATGAAAAAACAAAATTTCAAATCGTTCTGGAAAAATTATTTTCGGTTGCGGGGGTCAATTATAATAATTTTTGGTGAATAGACCTACTCCCGAAATCCTGGCCACTTTCTAGAAAAAAATTCAGTACGCGCGAAACTTTAAATGTTAATAACTTTTTGACGAAGCCTCCATCAACAAATTAGTATTCTTGATTTTCGTCTCCTTTTGGCCTCTAGAATCTTCCATTAAAATTTTTCCCAAGGGTGGCCGAACACCTTGTATATTGTAGAATTGAATGCATGATAATGTGTTTCATACATTTGAGTGTTAGTGCATTCGTGTAATTTTGCATCGCAATGAAAATGAATGCTACAGCATTCTCGTACGGGAACGTGTTAATACGACCGACTCGTGGCTCGGTATTTCCAGGATTGACGAAATTCTCACAGAGCTGGCCGTTGAAAATAATTGGTCATTTTATTCGCGGTTCCTGGTTCTTTGCGTTCATTCCAGTTTTCCACGGTGCCAATTTCTTATCAATTAGCGCCTGGAATGGAGCATAAATCAGTAAAAGGATCCGATCAATCAAGCGAGATACTGTCGGATCCTGTCAGTCTTTCGAGATCGCCGACTTGGTCGGTTAAACAGTCCGCGCCACAGTTTACCGAAGGCATGTAAGAGCGAATTAAACGAGCCTTTCCGCGCCAAGAGATATTGAATGTTCTTCTAATAATTGCGGCGTGTACCGCTTCCATGTTTAGCGCTTGTGCACGGGAACTTTCAGAGCAAGCATGGCGCAACAGCTACGCTGCCCTACGGGAGTTCACTTTCCATTCTTTCTCTCTCTTCCTCGTTCTTGAATAAGCGAGCCGATGCCCGATATTTTATACGGGAAATCATTGCGCAACGAGAGCTTATCATTGTCTCGGGCATCCATCCGCGTGTCATCTACTAAATGGGTTGGCAAACTATTTTTCTGAAGGGCTAGACACTATGTACTATATTATTTTTTTTTTTTTATTTGATGATTTTTTTACACCGCGTCCACTGCGAGGTTATTAGCGCCGTCGGTCGGGTGGATTTTTTCTTATATTTTGTCAATTAATTTTGTTTCTTTGATGAATCCCAGTAGGTTGTGTAGCTTTTTGTTGGTGAGGTTTCCTTTAAGTTGTGCACTGCCCAATTCTGTAGGTTGTCTAGTGCGTTTTGGAGTAGTTGTTCTGTGGTATTTTCATATTTTCCTTTATATATTATCGTTAAGTCATCTACGAAAAGATATGTTTGGACTGGTAAATTTGTTACGGAAAAAACAGCATTTATGGATACTAGGAATAGTGTTATGCTTATTACCGAACCTTGAGGGACTCCATTTTGCAATATCATAACGTCGGATAGACAGTTGTTGGTATGTACTATTTAAATTAGAAACCCATCAAATGTTTGGTTGTGTAACACAGTCGCCTCGAAAAGTAAGTTGACACATTTAAAAAATCAGTTCTTATTATGTCAAACTAAAATAAAGTATCATATTAATTAACATCTTTGGTATAATTAATGTGGGAACGTATCGTGAAATATATGTAGAAGGGAAAAAATATTGACAGTATAAATCATATACAGTAAGGAGCATAGCTCAACCAATAATCACAAGTTTTGTATAGATCATTACGTACTGCTAAGAATATAGGGGAATATTAAAAAACAAACATTATAGTTATCTTTATTACAGTTAAAGGTAACATAAGAAACTTTTTCTGTAATTAATGTCTTCTCGTTTGGTAATGAAAAAAAGAATAAATTGACTCGATTTTGCACCAGTTCGTGAAAACAACGTTTACATGGAATGTCTTAGTAATGTGTTTGCATCTAGCAGATTCAAATGATTACAATATGCTATTTTACACTCAATTGCTCACAATCAGTCGAACAGAAAAATACGCAAGTAAAGTAAGAATAAACAGGTATCCAATTTCTCCAAATTGTTTAAAAAAAATCATATCTCTTTTGAATGACGATTTATCAACGTGTCAAGTCGCAGAAAACCATAGTATTAGTCGATCAACAGTGCACAAAATAAGAAACAAACATTGAAAAGTATATTATTAAAAGTTGGAGGAAGACCAAAAAATTACCACCGGTATTTCAGCGGAAGAAATTCTTTACACGAAAAGTACTCCAATCAAGAAATTTGTATTTAAATAAAACTTTGTGTAGAGCATAATGAAGCATGCAAGAAACAAATCTTTTTTGGAAGATTTAACGGTACGAAATATTTGTTAAAAAAGGAGTTGTTTTCCGTTACGATAATTTACAACTCCATATATATTTAATGATAAGACAAAAATTACTACATTGATATTTGTATTGAAAAATTCTCTTAGTGAAAAGTCGTTCGAAAACACCGAAAAATTAAATACAGACGTATTTGGAAGTTTAAATAAATAAAGCGATGAATTTTATTATAAAGACATATATAAATTATCTAAAAGATGGCAGAAGATCGTAAAATAAAATGGCGCGTAAACCATTGATCAAAATAGTTCTATAAAAAATTTACAGTATTTGATATTGCTACAAAGAAACGCGAACGGACTTATTACACAACCTAAATACATATTTATTAATGGGAAGAATGAAATTCTATAATGAAATTATTTTGTTTTAGTCGAGTGACAAATACGTATCGACTCGACGGGTTAAATACATACGTATTGGTCTAATCACAGCAATGGCGATTTACAGAAATTAGCACCCTTAGCTCGGTTCTTTTCTTTTTATGGTTATTGTTTTGGCCACGAACAAATATTCGTTTACAAATGTTGCTCGTGGTCGTCGCGTATTGCACAGCCACTCTGTGCTCTTAACATGTACCTTGACTCTTAGAAGTTGTTGCTTCTGATACGCAGAAATGACTTCTTGCGGAGACTAACTATCGAAGATGTTACTCTGTCGAAATTAATCTGCCTCTCCGTCCTGATTTTTCCCATAGGGAAACCTCGATTTCCCCTGCCAAGGTGACAACGACGAATATTGCCTACCGGAGGGAGGATTGGTCAAGCCAATCCTCATCGTCGTCACCTTGGTAGGGCGGTTCCTAACAATATGCAACATTCCCACCCACCCTGCCGTCCAGTGTCCAGGTAGACCATGCAGGAGTGAGCGAGAACGCTGCATTGTTATTAACTTTTTGGGAAATGCCCAACGACCG